GGGGATAGTTGTGCCACAGTCCCTTCTTCATTTTTCTCCAGGATCTTGGGCACACACGCACACATGCCTGTCATTATTTTCAAGGCTTCGGGTCCAGGATTCAAACCACGGTCGGCCATGTGGGAGTCCAGAAGCATAACCACTGCACATCTGCTGGTCCCAGGGCTTCTCTTTTGTAAATGGTCGTAGGCTCACCTTGCAGGGCTGCTGTTGAGTCTGTGTATCGAATGCCTGATACATATATGTGGGGTCTTTGAAAAGATCATGGAAAATACAGGGTATAAGAAAATTGGGACCAGCAGTTGGCGTAATGGCTATGTTGCTGGATTCCCCTGTAGTCGACCGCAGTTCGAGTCCCGGACCCAGCGGCTTAAACTCACGCCGGGCACGTGTGTGTCCATGCCCAAGATCCTGAGAGGAGAGTGGAGAATGGATTGCAGCGTGGCCATCCCCTCTGGGGGGTGATTTCTTGCTTTCTGTCTCTGTCTCTCTTTCTGGCGAGCACATGTGCCCTATAGCAAAAACCTCTCCAGAAAAAAAAAATTATAAATAGATTTCAACTTTTTTTGGCACCAAAATAAATTCATACTTCAACTCCATTTTTCCATGTACCTTCTGAAGTCCACTCTTACACGGTGCCCAACAGTAATGTCATCAGCATAGTGTCCGGTGCATGATGGGTTTCATACATGTGAGGTGAATGGATGGACACGGCACAGCACAACCAGAAAGCCATATGTAGGCCCCTATCCGTGTCAGGAGCTGCTTCCCCTCTGCTCAGTCACTGAATCAGCAGCTTCTGGGTATTTGTTATTTTTGAGTGTTTTGAGAGTCTTTTTTGCCTTAGGGCATGTGTGCAACCCCAAGAGACAGAGAGACAGAAAGTAAGAAATCACACCCTCAAGAAGGATGTCCACACCACAATTCCCTCTTCACTCTCCTCTTGGGACTTTGGGCACACAAGCACACATGCCCAGCATGAGTTTTAAGCTGCCATGTCTGGGACTTGAACTATGGTCAGCCATGTGGAAGTCCAGAACCTCAACTACCACGCCACTTGCTGGCCCCCAACTGGTGCTTTTAAAGCTCCAGAACTTTGAATCTTTGAATCAAGAATTGGGGTGGGGCCCAGGCTCTGTGGGTGTGACTGTGGCCAGGGTGAAGAGCCACAGTGCAGAATTTGGAGGGGGGCTCTGTCAGAACCCTTTTCTTTTTCTCTGACCTGTGCTTCTCAAACCTTAGTGAGGACCAGAATCCCCTGGAGAGCTTGTTCAAACAGACCACGGCACTCCACCCACAGTTTCTGATTTGGCAGGTGGGATGGACCTGAGAATTTGCATGTCTACCAAGTTCCCATGGGTGCTGATGCTGCTCTCTGGGGACAATTTGAGAACCACTTGTCATATCCATAGTTCTCAACCCACGTGTATTTTAACCACCAAGGGTGTTTTTAAATACCTATACCAGACCCTACATAATTAGATTTAAATCATCATGTGTTAGGGCCCAGATGGTGGCACAGCTATAAACCACAACACTCTGCAAGGCTGACTCACATGAGAAGGTTCAAGTTTTATCCAGGGACCTCCCTGGGTATGCCCAGTGCATGCTTGCCCGTGATCCAGGGCTGGATGGGGCTGGGTGGACTGTGGTGGCAAGACCCTGTTAGGAATGCTGTCTCTCTACCACTCTCTCATTCATAGAAGAAATAGTCAAGAGTTGGGAGACTCGGGGGCACTTGAACTCTTCATGATTTTAACGCACCCAGATCAGGGATTCTGTTCTCGTTAAGTGAACCCACTGCTCTAACTCCAAAGTGTGGCCTGGGATGAACAACACCTCACTCCAGAACTCAGGGAGCAGAGGTGATCCCCACATGCACTGGAGTCTGAGAACCACTGCTTGGTTTTCAGCCTGAGTACAACTTCCTCAGACAAGTCTTTTTATTTATTTATTTAGGAGAGATTTTTGCTATAGGGCACATGTACTCGCAGGAGAAACAGAAAGCAAGAATTCACTCCCCAGTGGGGATGGCCATGCCGCAATCCTTTCTCCTCCATTCCCCTCTTGGGATTTTGGGCACGCATGCACACGCGCCGGCATGAGTTCTATTTCCCCTTCACTAACCATACAAGTAGCAAGCATTTTGCAGAGCACGTAGGAAAGAAAGTCTTCCATTGATATCACTTATATGTCCTTTGAGTAAGCGCAGAACCTGAATGTGAAAACAGCCGTAACTGGGCACCCATGTGCAATTGGCATAGAACCCTAGCAGTGAATTCCCAGAACCTGGGAGTAGAGGACTCCAGACCAGAACAGATGCCATCCTAGGCTGAGTCTCATCCTGGACAGAGGCTGCTCCCAGTGCCGATAGTATCATTGTGTCTCCTTAGTACTGCATCTGAATTATAGTTTACATCCAAAACGAGGACTCAGTCATTCACCCCTCCACATTTTGTAAAGTCTCTGGGCCAAGAGGACACTGTCTAATACAATCAAGATTCTGAGCTTAGGGCCAGCCAGTGGCATAGTGGTTAAGGCAGCTAGAGCCCACATAGCCAACTGTGATTTGAGTCCCAGATCCAGTGGGAAACACTTCAGGCAAGTGCATATGTGTGTCTGAAGTCCTGAGAAGAGAAGAAAGGATGGCTGCATAGGCATCCCCCAGAAGGTGCTTTCTTACTCTCCCTCCCTCTGAGGTGAGCACATGCTTACCATAGTAAGTAAGTAAGTAAGTAAGTAAATAAATAAATAAATAAATAAATAAGAGGAACCAGCAGTTAGTGGAATGGCTATGTCGCTGGACTCCCACATAGTCGACCGTGGTTCGAGTCCCAGACCCGGTGGCTTAAACTCACGCCAGGTGTGTGTGCATGCGTGCCCAAGATCCCGGAGAGGAGAATGGAGGAGAAGGGATTGTGGCATGGCCATCCCCCCTGGGGGGTGATTTCTCACTTTCTGTCTCTCTGTCTCTGTCTGTCTGGCGAGCACACACGCCCTATAGCAAAAACTTCTCTGGAAAAAAAAAAAAGATTCTGGACTCAGAGCACAAAAGCTAAATAGAATCATTTTGGCAAAAAGTTAAAAGATTGCTAATACTGACTATTGCCAAGGGTGTGGAAATAAGCTCCTCAAGTGAATAAGCATGAAAACAATCTGTGCATTTGCCCTTCAATCTGTAAATAGCAATTGCTTTTAGGAAGTGAGACCAGATTGGGGGAAGTGGGTTTTATTTTTTCTGTTTACTCCTCTATAATTGTTGAATTTGTTATTACAAGCCTATATTACTTTTATTATTTTAATAATACTTCAAACAAGTAAAACTGATTTCTCTAGAACTGTTTTCCCTGGGTGTGGAAACATTAGCTCACGTAGTTTTGTTTTGAGCTCGCCCAGTAGACATAATACAATACACTGTGATTGATTGGGTTTGAGCTTTCTTAGATAAACCTAATCTAATCTGGACCCTTGAGATTAAACCCAGGTTAATCCTGATTGGCTTTAACATAACCCAGAGGGCTGGAATTTAGTACCAGGTCTTTGAAACTTCATTGGTGCCTAGTTGCCTCTGCTCTTCAATATTGCTTCTTAACAAACATGTGTTTAAATTTATTTTTGATAAATTGCTGCTAAATCACATCACTCCAGTTCTGCACCTAATCAATTTTTTTACATTTACTTTTGTAGATTTCATACTGTAGGTTTTAGTACAACATTCTGGACTATTAAAATAATTTTGGATCTTCATTTCTACTGCACTGGATGCTCTTGTTTTACGTGAGATTTTCCAAAAGTTCATGTAAAATACACATTATGAAAAAACTACATGGGTTTTGGGGTTTTTGAACCAAAATAAACTGGTACTTTTTTAATTCCATTTTCCCATTAACCTTTTTTTTTTTTTGAGAGGTTTTTACTATAGGGCGTGTGCGCTCGCCAGACAGACTGAGAGAGACAGAGAGACAGAAAGTGAGAAATCACCCCCCCGAGGGATGGCCACACCGCAATCCCTTCTCCTCCATTCTCCTCTCGGGATCTTAGGCACGCATGCACATGTGCCTGGTGTGAGTTTCAAGCCACCGAGTCCGGGACTCGAACCACAGTTGACTACATGGGAGTCCAGCCACATAGCCATTACACTAACTGCTGGTCCTTCCCATGAACTTTTTGAAGTACCCGCATATATTATCTGAAAATTGTAATCACTGTGAAGATATCAAATAACAGACACAAAGAAGTCTTTTAGATAGTATGCTTTTTAGTTGAAAATTACTAAACCTACTTAAACTTATGCCCAAGAGAAATTTATCAGATGGGGACTGAGGTAGCTCAATGCTATCCTGGGGACGGCATCCAAGTCTAAACACGGAATTCATTCATGTTTTATAAACACCTTCCACACATAGCCAGAAGGTAATTTTATACACGACTTTTGGATTCCGGCATTTGACTGGGACTGTCACATGATGTCACCCATGGAATTTTCTACTCGTGGCATCATGTCAGCACTCAGAAAGTTTCAGATTTTGGAGCGTTTCAGATTTCAGGCTCTCCTAGCAAGCATGCTCAACCTGTGTTATGAAGAAATAAAGTCGTAATAGTATACAATTAGGCAGTGTGTTTGACAAGGTACATGTATGCCACACCATAACCTTATTTTGTGTGTGTGTGTATATATCAATTATTTTGTGTGTTTATATATTTATGTAAACATATATAAATATATATGTGTGTGTTTATATATTTATGTATACATATATAAATATATATGTGTGTGTGTGTGTAGACAAAACATAGGGTATACGTAGGATATATACCAGACAATAGCAAACATACCCATGTATATAATAGGCTGAATAAGACAAAAAGCATCCAAGATAAGTATATCAGGATATTTTGGATAATGAAAGTACAGCCTTCCTGCAACAGCTCCTGGAGCGCGGGCACCGCCTGTTGCCATGGCTCTGTAAGCACCTGAACGGTAGTACAAGGAGATGCTCAGCACACGACTCTCTAGAAATGTCAGCCTTGTCGTGCAGTGACATGAGGTGCAAACACCAACGGAGAAGCAGTACTTTTGTTTAAAATAGAAACTTTGAAGGAAGCCAAGTTAACACATGATAAAATACTGAAGATCCAGCTCTCCTGGAGAGACTGGGGTAAAATAAAAAAGGAGAAGAAAAATAACCTCCTTCACTTCTGAAATGAGAAGGAGAATTGCTGGTACCAAAATTCACATTTCCTTTTTGGTGACATTCTCCAGCCAAGCTTGGCGCTAACCAAGTAGGCGATTTCACTTCATTGTCACTTCACAAAAGACTTCCAAATTCACTGCGGCAGACAACCGCAAAATAAAAATGTCAAATACATCCTTGCTGAAAGGGGACTGAAGCCTCCACGCTTAATCAAAGGTTTACAATAATAGGATTCATAAAAAAAAAAAAAAAAAAAAAAAAAAAAAAAAAAAAGAAAAAAAAGGACAGATGGGATTAGAAAATGTTGCAGTGAAGACTGTGGAATGAGATGAGCTCACAGCCACCAGCCTGTCTTTTGTGGACCTGCACAATGATCCCTGAGCCAGACTGGATTAGGAAAGCTCGCGACTAGGGGTCCAGAGAGAGGCCTCCGGTTTCCAGGCACTTCGGGGAGAACAGGCTGAAACGATGCATCAGATTTACAGCTGCAGTGATGAAAATATAGAAGTTTTCACCACCGTGATTCCTTCCAAGGGTGAGTACAGTTGCCCTTGACTGTCCCTTAAAGCGACATCCTATGCAGGAGGGTGAGGACAGTCACGTGCTGTCTCACTACGGTTTACCCTCAGGTCCCTCAGGGCTGATGGCTTCTCTGTTTCGGTGGTATTATTTTGCTTTTTTGCTTCTTTTTTCTCCCCTTCTGGTAAGGAAAGGATTAAAGGGGGACGGGCACAAGGATAAACACGATCATTGAGAAACAATCCATCAAGGGGAAGGAGGGCAGTTAAATACTCCCTGCTTCACTTAATTCAATATTGACAACCTAATATGCCAAATGAAAGTGATAGCAAGCCATTGTTAAGGAAACTGACGAAAAGAAAATTCCCAGGGCAGCTGGAGAGATTCTTTCATTTTCTCCGGTGAGCAAGTGGGTTTTAAAATGAGAACCAGCTGGCTCTAAAGTAAGATTTCTAACCATGCCATGAAATGCAAGGAGCGAGACTCCTGGCAGTAGCCAAAAGTCCAATTAAGCTGTCAAATAGTGCCTGACCCCGCTGGCCTCTCCACAAGACCCCAGGACCATCCTGCCAAACTTAACCTGGGACTAGCACTGCAAAAGAGTGTGGCATAATATTCTTGACTTGATAAAACCTGCAGTCCACAGTGAACAGTGTCAAGTCCCAGGAAAAGGCTTTGGGTAAGGGCTCGGTTGACACCAAGTGCCCCGTTACTGGACAGTGTCCTTCCCTCTGCAAAGCATAGTCTTCTCTCCTGCTTCCTCTAATTTTTCCCTGCAGCCTCTCTGTCTTGCTGAGAGAGACCCTGGCTCAGGCTTAGCCCCTGGTCTCATTGTCAGGCTTGAATGAAGTAGGCTGGATGTTTGCTGGTGTTGTTACTCCCCGTTCAAACAATCCCTTTCTTCCTGCCGTGTCAGCCACCGACAGGGCTACTGCCAGGGTGGGGGGAAGGGAGAGACTCACCCTGGCCACAGAAAGACGGCCAGAACACAAATTAAGCTTTAGACATCTATTGCCAGAGCAATAGAAAGGAAAAAGATCTGGGAGTTCACCAATGTGCAGAAGTTGGAATTCCCTCCGGAGTCTCTGAAAGGCAAGGCTGACCCTCTGAGCCAGCAGTTTCACTTCTGGCTTGGGAAAACGCATCCATGTAAATGCTTGTAGTGGATGTGAGCAAACAAGGCAAAACTGGAAACAACCTAAATGCCCATGAAAAGGAAATAGATGCTATGAAATACTCCATACTGGTCAACAGGAATGAACTAAATCTACATCTATGGGCAAAAGCAGGTCTCACAGTATTATGTAGAGTGGAAACCAACAGGCAGAATACATAGCAGAGCATTTATGTGAGTTTGGAAATGCAAAATAATGTTTTATATTGTTTATTGTATCTGGAGAAAAGTATAAAAACATAGACCAGAAAGATGCAGATAAAATTAGGGATGTCAGTAGTCCCAGAAAGGGAGAGAAGTAGAACTAGGGAAGAATTGAAAGGGAACCTAACTTTTACCTCTAATTTTTAAAAATAATTATTTATTTAGTATTAGTATTATTTAGTTTGCTACAGGGCACGTGAGCTCGCCAGAGAGAAATGGGTAGAGAGGGAGTAAGAAAGCAAGCCACCAAGTCCAGGACTCAAACCGTGGTCATCCACATGGGAATCCAGTGTCTTAACCATCATGCCAACTGCTGGCCCCTACTTCTATTTTTTTCTTTCTTTTATATAAGGAGAAAATAAATTGGGAGAAAATACAAAAATGTTAAATATGTCTGTTTTCTGATATGTCTTCCATTAAAACATTTTCAAAGGGGAAAAAAGTGCAATATGAAGTGATTGAGAGACTGCCGCCATGTTTGTACTGTAGGCCCTCAGGCAGGCTACTTCACCTCTCTGGGCCTGAGTCGCCACTTCTGTAAAAGGGAGGATCAGAATGTTGTCTCTTGGAATTACTATAGGGAACAAATTAATTGATACATAAAGCACCTAGAATAGTAGCTGGCATGTAGTAAACACCATTAAATATATAGCTTACAAAGTGATTTCTATTTTTATTCTGTATTTAGAGCAATTAATATGTTTAAAGAGGGACCAGCAGTTAGGGTAATGGCCATGTCGCTGAACTCCCATATACTCGACCGTGGTTCAAATCCCAGACCCAGTGCCTTAAACCCACGCAGGGTGTGTGTGCGTGCGTGCCCAAGATCCTGAGAGGAGAATGGAGGAGAAGGGATTATAGCATGGCTATCCCCTCTGGGGGGTGATTTCTCACTTTCTGTCTCTCTGTCTCTTTGTCTTTCTGGCGAGCGCACGCGCCCTGTAGCAAAAACCCCTCCAAAAAAAAAAAAAAAAAGTTTAAAGATAAATATTTAATCCTATGTTCCTTTTTTGCCATTTTCATTCATGGCCACTTTCTGCTATTAAACCAAGTATTCAGGAACCAGCAGATGGCATAATAGTTTACGTCGCTGGACTCTGACATAGTCGACCACAGTTAAAGCCCCAGACCCAGCAGCTTAAAACTTATACTGGGCACATGTGTATGCATGCCCAAGATCCCAAGAGGAAAATGGAGGAGACTGGATTGGGACATGGCCATCCTTCTGGGGGATTATTTCTCACTCTCTGTCTCTCTTTCTCTCACTGTCTCTCTGGCAAGCACACACACCCTATACCAAAAATCTCTCTAAAAAAACCACAGCTTCAGTATTCATCAGTATTCATGGACATTTCATTGCTTGGGTACTCACTCTCTAGGACAGGGATATTTCCAGTTTTATATTAAATAATAAATTAATGAAATCCACTTGTTCCTACTTTTTTTTTTCTTTCTTTTTTTGAGAGTTTTTTGCTATAGGGAGCATGTACTTTCCAGAGAGACAGAAAGCGAGAAATCACCCCCCAGTGGGGATGGCCATGATGCAATCCCCCCCTCCTCCATTCTCCTCTCAGGATCTTGGGCACTCACGCATCCAGTGTGAGTTTAAGCCACCTGGTCCAGGACTTGAACTGCGGTCGACTACATGGGAGTCCAGCAACATAGCCATTTCACCAATTGCTGGTCCCCCTACTTTTTAAAAAAAGCTTTTAGTTGTTTTACTTATTTTATGAGGGGAGGCACTCTCACAGGGTCTCATTATGCCAAGATCCCTCTTCTCCAGTCCTCTGGCCACTCAGGATCTTGGGCGCACATGCATACTGGGTATGTTTCAGGTCAACCCAGGATCCTAACTATTGTCAGCCATATGGCCTCCAGCACTGCAGATCAGTATGCTGCAATCTGCACCTCCAAGGCTGGATCTCTTCCCACTTTTTGGCCTGCCTCATCTGGCCTTCTCCAAAGCCTCCAAGAGAACTCTTGGTGAGAGAAAACAGGGCTAGCCAGTCTCAAGTCTTGAGCCACTCACTGCTCATGAGAGAGACGAGCAACTCTTCATTATATCCCCACATCGAGGAGGAGGGCAGTGAGAAAGCAGAAATACACATTGGCTTGATTTTTTCTAACAAGGGTTGTAGTCCTCCTGTGTGCCCTTTCTCAAATGCTGAAGGTTAGCCATGTTTACCACTGTGCAGTAACCAAAACCGAGCACAAGCTCAGCAACATGGGCAGAGTGGCCTAGTGGCTAACGGTGTGGGCCTGGTCCAGACTGATGGTGCAATCATTGGCAAGCTGAACTGCAATGCTGGAAGTTACATGGCCAACTGTGGGTTCAGATCCCCACTGGATATGTATGTATATGCTCAAGATCCTGAGGATCTGGAGGGCCAGCAAAAGAGGGTCATAGCATGACGAGATCCTGTCAAGGTTGCCTCTCTCCTTCTCTCCTCTGCCTCTTGTATGCATGGACATGCTATAAAGAATAAAATAATACATATTTTTAAAAATATGGACCTGTTCCTTCCCTAACAATGTAACCCCTCACCCTTGATATCTCTGTCTATACAGTGAAATTAATGAAGAGTACCTACCTCGTAGAGTTGCAATAAAAGTGAAAGAGCTAACTCAAGTAAACATTACCTAGCATAGCTCAGCTGAGCTAGAATGACATTTATTGTTGGTGTATCACATTCTTCTTCCCAACACACACACACACGCGCACGCACACACTGGGTTCAACCTACTATGTTTGTTTTCTTTCTTTAGAGAGATTTTTGTTATAGGGTGTGTGTGTACACCAGAGAGACAGAGAGATAGAAAGTGAGAAATCACCCCACAGGGGCGGATGGTCACGACACAATCCCTTCTCCTCCAGTCTCCTCTTGGGACCTTGGACACATACATACATGTGTTTTAAGCTGCCGTCTCCGAGACTCAAACTGTGGTCAACTACGTGGGAGTCCAGCAACATAATCATTACGCCATCTGCTGGTCCCACTCTCCATGTTTTTATTTTTGGTTTTGGTGATAGCAAATATTAGGATGTTTCTTAAGTATTTTAAAGGCATAGGACATGGACTAAGTCTATAACTGAGAATATGTGTGTACTTTTACTTTTTAGAAAGAAAAAGAGCCTGTTGAGGTAAAGATTTTATAGAGCAACTCACGGTAAATACAAAAGATAAAAGCTTTAGCTGGTTTTATTAAGAAGCTATATCAGACGTTATTTCCTGAGGCACACCAGAGTGGATTTCATTCTGGAATGAACAGCTCCATAGCATTCCAAATAATTCTGTTGGGCATAGCAATAATGAGGTGGGGGTAGTTGGGAGAATCAAGGAACAGCAGGAGGAAATGGGGAAAGTTCCAGAAAGAGAAATCTTAATGGAACACTATAATCTCTAGTCCTCATCATCTATTCCCTCCACCTGCCAGCATCTCACAGAGAAAGAGGAAAATCATAACAACCACTAACTCCCAGGAAGTTACTCTTTGCCAGGATCTGGGCCAAGGATTTTGTGAAAGTTGGTTCATTTAATGCTTGACATGGTCCTCTGAAGGAGGTGCCATTATGATCCCTGTCTTACAGATGAGGAAGCGAGGCTTAGAGAGAGCAGATACGTTGCCAAGCTCAGATTCACACCTGAGTGGAGGGAGTTAGGATCCTTGTCGATGACAAGCATGCTGTGCTCCAGGCTTGCCTCTGCAAGGGCTGCGTGGAAAGTCACAAGGACAGCACTCATCTGATACACGATAAGAAGCCATTTCTGTTCTAAGCAGGGCAGCAACATGGGAGGATTTCAGCTCCCGACAGATCATCCTAGCAGCAATGTAGAGAACTGGTGCATGGGTGTCTCCATTTTCCACAATTTTTCTTTTCTTTAAAGAGATTTTTGCCTTGGGACAAGCAGTTAGCGTAATGGCTATGTCGCTGGACTCCCACGTAGTCAACCGCGGTTTGCGTCTTGAACCCGGTGGCTTAAATCTCATGCCGGGTGCGTGTGTGTGCATGCCCAAGATCCCGAGAGGAGAATGGAGGAGAAGGGACTGCGGTGTGGCCATCCCCCCTGGGGGGTGATTTCTCACTTTCTGTCTCTCTGTCTCTCTCTGTCTGTCTGGCGAGCGCTTGCGCCCTATAGCGAAAACCTTTCAAAAAAAATAAACTATTATAGCAGAATACAACTTGACCACAAACATTTTTCAATACCATAAGTATTAAAAACATGTATGGAGTAATACACAAATACAACAGAACACAATATGAAAAGTTATGGGACCAGCAGTTAGCATAATGGCTATGTTGCTGGACTCCTATGTAGTCAACTGTGGTTCGAGTCCCGGACCTGATGGTTTAAACTCATGCCGGGTGCGTGTGCGTGTGTGTCCAAGATCCCAAGAGGAGAATGGAGGAGAAGGGATTGCGGTGTGGTTATCCCCTTGGGGGGTAATTTCTCGCTTTCTATCTCTCTGTCTCTCTCTGTCTGTCTGACAAGTGCACGCGCCCTATAGCAAAAACTTCTCAAAAAACAAACAAACAAAAAACAAAAAAAAAATCTGGGATTTCAAAGGAAAGAAATAAGTAGACCATATTTTTTACATTTTTAATTGGTTGTATTTGTTTTATAATAAAATGAAAAGAGAAGTAAATTCATTACCAAGACTATAAAAAGAATAGAAATTACACATGCAGCTCATTCTTATAATGAATAAATGGACTCTTGACTTTATGACAGGGAGTACAAGGCAATATTCAAAAGTAGCTTTTGGATAGAAGAAAACATTCCTTTTAATTCTGGGGTAATATGAAATGCTAGTTCCATTTTTTTTTTTAATAGCAAGATCATCTACAGTGTTAATTCCTCAAATAGTTTATTCTCATTGCTCATCTTTACAATTGACTTCAACAAAGACAAATGTTGTTTTCTGAAAAACATCCAAAGATAATTCACACCTCTTTACATGATCCCCTTCCACTTTAAAAAAAGCATTTATAAGATATTTATTATTTTTCTGTCCAAAGTAAAATGATTTTTAAATCTTTTTAAGCAAATAACTGAAAAAAACTATTTGGGAAAATAAAATACAAGTGGGAAATTTAAACATTAGATTGCATCTTCTAATTTAATCCTAACCCTACATTTATTCTAGAACACAAATAGAACACCTCTGAAGTATTACCAAAATGCTAACGAAGTCATTTTAGCATAAATCTAGCACATGCATTTCAAAGTTCCACTATTAGGAATTTTGTTAAAACTCATTTAATTTTGAATAATAATAGAGTGCAAGGAATGCAGGTCATTAAATGTGATCTTTGCCCCATACCTCAGATTATGTCACAATAAAGCTGACATTTCTGCCAGGCTCTAAACCCCCAGTGACTCTGATCCAAACCTTGGAGGCAAAGAATGTAACCCGTCATACAACTTTGTACAAGTTGTAGTAAAACAAAGCCTAAGTTTTCTTATCTTTGTAGTAAATGGTTATTTGACAAATACTATAAAACACTGACATGAATCCATTTTATGAGTTTGTTTACCAAACACATTGTACAAGATCCCCTATACTGCTCTCTCTACCTTCATCAAGTCTTAGGATAGCTTGCTCCTTTTTTTTCAATTGCCAGAGGACTTGTGCTGGACTGCTTAGAAAGAAACAGAGAGAGAGAGAAAGAGA